CTCCTCTTTCCTTCAGGGCACCCCTTGAGCGATTTTAATATCACAACAGTACACATGCAATTGGTACCAATATATCAAACAGAGCTACACATAGGGAGGTGAAGCCAACTATTCATGGAGAAAATGCATTGAGGCCCCACATGTGGGTTGAAGAAAGCTTGCTGGGAGCAATTGCTTACTGAACTTATTTGGATCTTCAGAGCCTAATTTATTTCTATTCCACTCATGCTTCTGGCTAAAAATGGAATGCTGTGGCACATATACAAGTTAATGACAAAGAGAGTCATCTAACCCCATCCAGAGCAAGTTTCATGTCAACTGGGGGTGTACAGTCAGGTATTTAGTCTCCACCAGACCCTAGTAACACACCAGAAGTTGCTTCCCAGAAAGAAAAAAGGAGCATACTTTGCTGCCATGTCTGGGTATTTGTTTTGCTTTTCTTGTTAGGTTTGCCATAGGCTTCATTTAGTGCTCTATAGATACTCCTAGCTCCACTAGACCCACTGTTTAAATCCAAGAAACAGAGCAATGGCACTTCAACCTGTGCTGGCTAGATAGACAGTCTTTTCTAACTCAATCTCACCCTCAACCAGCAGCTTTCTAGATTACTCATTAAATAGCTCACAGCATGATCTCCTGAGGAGATACATGTTGCTTATAAAATTTAGAGGCCTCCTAACATCACTCTTAATAGCAGGAAGTACAAATTACATCAGCACGTTCATTTCAGCCAAGCGACCCAACCATATCTACAAGTGCCACCGCAGAAGCAGGCGACTATTTTTACTGGTTGTATCACCTACCCACTACCACACACGTGTCTTTCCAAGACATCCAGAAAACTTGCTACTTTCTGACATCTAGTCCTACCAACATGATATCGTCCATACAGCAAACCTGTATGGCACCCTTTGAGATGGTCAGGTTCCTTGAAGACTATATTCAAGTAAAGGGCCGGAGCAATGGTGATTGCCAGCGTGTGGAGGTAAAAACAGACTGCTGTCCCGGCCAAACAGCAGCCAATTCTGTGCTTCTCAAAGATGCTGTACAAAAATATGCTTGCTAAATGATCAGTTACATACCAAGTGTGAAGGACTGTATTTATTTGCTCTGGTAAGGAGACTATCTATGGAACAGCAACTATAATTGGTGTCACCACCTGATTACACAATAATCACACATTATTGCTTGCTGCCATTCTTTCAACATGGCTAAATTGCAGAACTGAATGGGATTATAATACAAATGATCATCCAGTGTATTTGAAGTCCGGGTTAGTGGTCCTAATCTCTGCTATGTGCTAATGTATTAGATTTACGAAAGGGAAGATCCATCAACTTTTTCTTAGCCCTTGCTACAATTAAAACTTCACTTCCTAGGCCTGGGAGATACTGTAATCATTGTAGAGATTCTACAAGTGGTAGATAAAGTGTCCCCTGACCCCACCAGTGCACGTAGGAAATAGGGAAATAAATTCTAGATGGTTTCAGAGCCCCACTGAATAACTCCAGAGAAGAATCAGGTAAAAAATCCATTCTTCCCTCTGTTTGCATAAACCCCACTCTGGTCAGAGGATGACACTGAAAATAAGTCTTCCTCCGCCTGCAGCACAAATTAGTACACAAATCTGGATCCAGGACATCTCAAAATTTTAGCTATGTTCTTGTCCTAGAGCATAATTCACCAAGTAAATAGACTCAGGCCACTTTTGTATAAGCCAGAAAGAAGACTCTCAATGTTAGAACAGGGTCCATTCTTGAAGGTCCCTTTAGCTTAAGAGGCATTGAAGAAGCTAACATAACTCACTGAGGTTTGTGACCTAGGCCATAATATTTGAGCATGTTGACCGCCATCCACCCAGTGATGAAATCTACCAGGTGTTTTTCTTTGTTTGGTTTTTGATTATATAAATCAAATAAGGACTAAAATGTCCTGTTAACTTCATCACTGGGGATCTCAGTTGTATGAAGAATCCTCTTAAGGCCCCAAAACATCCCCATGTAATGCTGTTTCCATTTTAAGAGTACCAGAAGTGAATGAAATTAATGAATTGACATTTGTCTATTTTCCTTAAATACATTACACCATAATCTAAGAGGCCCTTTAGTAGGAGATGCACTGTGAACTTCTTTGTTCATTTTCATTTTATGTTTTTAGTAGAAAATAATGATGGAATCTGCCACTCAGTGTCCTGAATGGTGGGATAAGTCTAACTTCTAATTTGAGGTTGCAGCATTGGGAATACCACTGTTACCACGTACCCACCCATCAGCTCTGTGAGCAATGGGATTAGAAGTTTCCTTTTCGGTCAGTACCACTTTTTTGTCTTTCAGTTTATTCAGAATGTATGGGGAAAAATAAGATGTCATTCTGTTCTCAGAGCTTCCCGCAGCCACTTGTCTGCCACTTGTCGGCCACGGAACTGGCTTCTCTGGCCTGCTGCACCTCTACTGGCCGCCTGCCTGAATTCCTTCCCACCCTCATTTCAATATGCTGTGGCATCTGGATTCTGTTAATTCAACCGACTCCCCCTTGTTATTGCCCTTCCCCTGGCCACACACACTCCAACTCCTACCTGCCCCTCCAATGTCAGTTTATCTAATTTCTAGATCCACAAAGGATGATCTCAGGCTTAGGGTAGTTTAAAGTGCAAGGATTTCAGATTCAACTTTGTATTTAAGCCCAACTTCAAAAGCTACTAGCTCTTTGTCTTTGGGCAAGTAACTAAGTCATTCTGCCTGTCTTGTCTCAGTTATTTACCTCTAAAATGGGACCCACAACAGTCTTCTGGGTTGGTGGGAATAAATAAGATAGCTCATGAGAGGCAGGCAGCGTAACACCCAGCAGATGGGGGGCACTCAAAACTGACTGTACTTCAGTCTTTGCCAAGGGATGACTGGGACTCTGTCACCATTTCTCTACACCTGTATTTATCTTTCTACAATAGAATGGAAAGTCTTTTCATGTCCACAGCCACACAAAATCAATCAATCAATCAGATTATAGCAAAATTCCAAAGACGATTCTGATAGAGTTTACCTGTGGATGGTTCCTTTCCTCAGGTTTCAGGCACCCATACCTTTCCTAACCTGTAAGGAAAGAGGATTTTAGGTATAAAATACAGAAAGGAAGTCTTAGGACATCACTGTATCTCTTTGGGTGGAGGTCTATAACTGCAAGACAAGTACATTTAACATCGTTTAGATGGGCAATTGCTAGATAGAGTTGTGTTTTCCACATCACAACTCCTTTCAGGTTCCAGGACCCAATTCCAGTGTGTAGGGGAAGGGGTCTTCCTATGCACAACACCAAGCAATTCTCGAACACCAGCAGGGTGTCCAAGAACTCAACTCAATTCTGATGCTATTGGCCAGAGATTGCACCAGATTCCCCAGATGAAGGGCTTTGTCCTACAAGACTGCCCTCCACCCTCCACCCTCCACTCCAAGATGCCTCAAGCCCCAGGCTGTTCCCTGTTCTTTTTACCTACTGGCTACAGACTGGAGGTTCCCATGACCTCCCCCTTCGGTTTGATTCATTTGCTAGGGCAGCTCACAGAACTCAGGAAAACACTTAATGTTTACCAGTTACATAAATGATACTGTAAAGGGTACAAGTTAACAGCCAGATGAAGAGATACCTAGGGCAAGGTCCCAAATAAAGGAGCTTCTTCTAGCCTCATGGAGCTGGGGGCCTGGCTGGGTGGCACATGGAGGCGTTCTGGCTTCCCAAACATAGACGTTCTCTCTGACAGAGAAACAGGACCCCAGAAAGCAGTAAGCTCTAGAAATTTAAAAAGGAAAAAAAAAATAAAAAAAAATAAAAAAAAAAAAAGACAATAGAAAAATAAAACAACAAAAACCCCCCTTGGGTGGGGGTCCAAAAATCTCATTAACATGACAAAACACCCATTTCACCTTCAAGTCTCTGAAGTGTTATCAGAAACTGTGGATAAAGACCAAATATACCTGGGAAATACATATTCCATCATCCAAATGACCGAATATATATTTCTTATAACTCATATGGCAGGTTGCTTTGCTTTTGAAGTATTTCCCTGATTTGAGAAATCATAAATGCTCATTGTATATAATGAAGAAAACCCACAAAAGTATGAAAATAAGTTTAAATTCACTCATGATCCAAACTAATTATATTATTTTGTAATGTTTTCTAGTATTCTATTCTTGATACTCTGCTTAACTAGCTGGTAATCCATTGTCTACCAGGCCCAGTTTATCCCAGTTCATCCTTTGTAAGACCCCACCAGCACTCTGTGGATGTGTGCCTAAGCTCAGGGGACTTGCATGGATCCTGAAGCGCTAATAATTATTAACTCATTATCAGCTCCCCTCTCCCCAGGCCCACCTGTAGTCAAGCCCCTACCTTCACATCAGACCGCCTCTTGCTCTCCTGCTCAGCAGTCCTGAAATGTCGTCAATGGGCCCCAAATACAGGTTGTGTTTCTGGTGGGAGCTCGGGAATCTGAATGACAGCAAAGATGTTTGTCCTCGTTTCTCTGCCTCTCAGAACTGCAAGAGATCTCATGCTTCCTGCCTTCTGAGGACCTCCTAAATGAAAGAATAATGAAGGAAAGAAGAGGGGTAAAATACGGAGGAAGTAAAGAGGAAACATGCCTCATGTCTTGGAAGTCACACAATATCTAGTAAAATACTGAAAACTGAGTAGGTATTCTATACGTTTACTGCTTGAGAAGATGACTGAGACAGCTATCTTGGGTGGCTGTATATTCACCTGCCATTTTCAGAATTCCATAATTTTAAGATTAATCCAAACTACAGAAATAACTATGGAGCAGAATCTGATTTACACAATCAGAGAGCATATTACTTTTCCTTCAAATGACTGGATTTAATTAGCATAAGTATGTCTATTCCCATCTGGTTCTACTGAAACCCAGGGTAGGTCTGCAGGGCGATTAACTCAGCCCCTTTCTTTCACAGGACACTCACCTGATCTGCTGCCATGTCATGCATGGGTTTCCCTGTGCTCTGTGACCACGCAGGCCTCTCCTGATGGTATCACCAGGTGGTGAAGACCTCCCTGCCCTGCCATCTCCTCCGTAGTTAATAGTCTCTTGGCTTTCTGGAAGGGGGCAAAGATGCTTGCCAGGTAACACCTGCCTCGTCCCACCAGTAGTGTATTCAGTATGCAGAGAGACTGCATAACGAGGTGTTAAGAGCCCTAGCTTTCAATCAGAGTGCCTGAGACATAGACAGATCATTCCTATCAGCCTGAAGGCAAGAGACTCACATCATATAGGATGCCTTATCTAAATAACACCGTAATGAAACCCATTCAACCAAAAAGCACTGTTTGACCCGCTGCCACCTGCCAGTCTAGGAGGGCCAGCTGATCCCCACAGGGCCCCGCAGGGGTATTGAGGCACAGCTCAGGGTGGAGAGAAGGGAACTGCTGCCGGCAAGCCTCCAGGCTCTCAGGGACTGGGGATGAAGGGAACCCAGCCCAGCAATGGAGCTGCCAGCAGAAGGCCGTGGCTTTCCTTTAAGAGCAGGTGGCCCAGGGCCTCTCAGTCTTGCCATTTCCTCTGTATTTAGCAGTCTTTGCGGGGCCTCTGGCCAAGGACCTCCAGCGACTGCGATCTCAGAGGTGCCAGCAGGAGGCATGCAGAACGCAGAAATCCAGGTGTCCCCAGGGCCCTAGGGCAAGCTCTAGACTTCCTTCCATTACCGTTCTTGTCCTCTACAGCTGCGCAGATGTTCGCCACAACGGCTGACTGGGGGGTTTGGGGTGGCGGGGGGGGTGCTGAGGGAAGCCCAACGTCTGTAATGCCAGTTCCTCTGACTGCGCAGATCAACTGTGGACAGATGGCGCCCCCTGACGGAGAGGAGCTCCACCCTCTCTGCAGGCGCTGAGGAAAGCGCCAGCCAGCCCCGCTGCCCACAGCCTCCCACATCCACATCGGGAGACCAGACGCAGATGCCCTTGAAATTCCTTCTCGTCCACTCACTCCCACCTTGCACCCCGGGTATCTGCTCGTGGCCTACACCCCCGGGGATCGAGAAGCTCTCAGAAGCCAGGTGGCTCAGCTACAGTCTTGGTTCCCCATCTCTGCGGGGGTCTCAGGGGCCGCTCCCACCGCGCACGTCCCGGCTGGTTCTGCCGTTGGGGGTTGGAGACTCCTGGTTCGGCGCTCACTCCTCGTGGCCTTACCCAGGTGCAGACCCAGCTCTGGGCCAAGGCTTTTTAGGTCAATATTTGGTAAAGCCCTCCTCTATGGATTGCAGACCCTGGTCCTTTCTAGGACAGGCCCTCTCTGAGCATCTTCCTTTTAAAAAGACAACTTGAGACTGGGTTGAGCAGCTTAGGGGATGGTGGGTATCGAGAATGGAGGTCTACTTGGAAATGTGGGTGTTTGTGTATTCCGGGGGACGGGGGTGTGAGTAGGCAGCCACACATTGAGGTATTCATTCTACCACTTTTTGGGCCCCCAGAATTTCTCCAGGTTGCTTTCCAGCACCCCTCCGGGTATTGACACAGGCATTGAAGTGCAGTATGCTGTGTTATGCATGCAGACTGCCGAGTAAACAGCTGATGCTCATTAAGTGCAGCCTCTGTGCCTCTGTAGTGTACTGGAGGCTTCACCTGAATACTGTTGTTCAATCCTGGCAGCAAGCCTGAGCTGGGTAGAGTTACTGTTTGTGCTTCACAGCCACAAAAACTTAAAGTTTCAGGGAGATTAAATCTTCCCCAAAGCTCACAAGAGGCAGAAACAAGGTCCGCACCCAGCCCTCTGGAGCCTGAGGTTAAATGACTGTGCTGCTCAGTGTTTAGGAAGGGCCACACTTGTAGAGAAGTGGCCGGGCGGGAGGACCTGGGGCGGGAGGGGGCTGGCTTGGGAGGGCTGTCAGGGCAGAGGAGGTGGAGGGCGGGTCTGTAGCTGGTAACAGGATGGTTTTTATTCATTGGTCATGGTGACTTTCTCACTGTGTCTTTGCTGCAGGCACAATACAGCATTCTGCCCTGGGTCACGTTGGCCACAGGCAGCCTCAGCTGGGAACTGTTGACCCTCTTGACCCGGTAATCTGCTCCCGGGAGGGATGTGACCTCCTCATCTCCGGTACCCCGCAGAGTGGCCAGCACCTGCAGTTGCCCCTGGCGATCCTGTTGGTACCAGCTCATCCAGGGGTACTGGGAATCCCGCAGGATGCAGTGCAGGGTTCCAGGCTGTCCGTGACGTACCAGGACCCACCTGGGCGTTTGCTCCACGAAGCTTGCAGTGGCACCTGAAATGCACAGGAGGGCCAGATTAAAGGTGCTGGGGGTGGTAATCCTCCTCGAGAAACAGCTGCCACCTTGTCAAACAGGGCCCCATGAGGAATGCTGACAGCAGACAGCTGCAAACAGAAGGGAGCCCTTCTCAGGGCAAGGGGCTGCGCCTGGGAGGATCTTGGCCAGGCTGGGATCAGGAAGCAGCAGAATTTCTGTGCCTGCTGTTGCTCCAGTGACCCAGTCCCTCTCCCCTCCCTCAACCCCCGATGGCTTCCTCTGCCTGGCATCTGACCTGTACTCAGGGCAGCACCTGTGAGCACCCAGCCCCACAGAGTGAGGAACAGCCCCATGGCCTGGCTGCAGAGGCCCTCTCCGGTAGAGCCGGGCAGGGGAGCAGGATCCTAGCCAGAAGGCAGCGATTAGCAGTGACACTCTGGGCCTGAAACTCAAAAGGGAGTGGCTCTTCCAGGAAACGCAGTATCTTGTCTCATCTCACCAAGGCTCAAACCTCAACCTGGAGGTTTCCCATTTCCTGGGCACCAACAGCACTCCCACAGGTGCACGCTGCCACCCTCACTAGGCCACCGCACCCGGACAAGTTTACCCTGGATTCCGTGAGACTAAAAAATGACAATGGAACATTGAGGGTAAGAGAGTTTATACCCAGCATTACTGTTGTGGTGGCAGGTCAAGCACTAGAATCCCATCCACTTGCGGGGTAGTCTGCATGCACCAACCCAATCTCTGCGCCCGTTCCTCTGTACTGCCTCCAGCCCCAGAGCACCATGCAGACCTCTTTATATAGAGTCAGTAAGAGCTCATTGCCCACACGTGTGCACACCTGCACCTGCGAGCAGTGCTCATGTACAGGGGACAAGCGGACCAGGGTCAGGCGAGGATCCTGGCCATGGAACTTCCATTTTCCCTGTAACGACCCAGCACCCTCTCAGCTGCGTTCCAGAGATTCCTACAAGAGGCTCAAATCTCGAGTTGGCTTCAAATCTCCAAGGATGGAACATCCAATGCAACCAAGTGGCGCCTATAGACTGAGCAGACCCCTCCCTCCTGCATGCTTCACACATGCATAGGGGCTGTTGCTAGACCGCGAGAGGCCGTGAGCCCCGGACACTCATCTCCAGTGACCTGTGCTTTCCTCTGTGAGGGCAATACAAATGAAATGTAAGGGCTTAATTCTTATGGAAAGTAAGGGAAGAGGCTTCCCTCCCCTCCATTTTCTTAGAACCTTTACATTAAGAAACTGGTGAGTTTATATACATGTCTCTTTGACATGTATATAAATCACCCAGGAATGTCTTTCTCAAACCTGCAACCATATCTTTGAAATGTGAGTATCAAGGATGATGAACCCAACTTAATTCAGAGAGGATACCTTGCACCAAGGTGCTAAATGAGTCCCTGTCATAAAATGATGACAGGTTTATTTTTCCTTTGGCTAAAGTCAATGAGCAAACCCAGGTGGACACCCCAGTCCCTGAGTGACCCTAGGGTGAACTGTGGATGAACTAAAGGTTAAGTCCACGTGCATTTCATTCCAAGTTTTGCTGTGGAGGGAGTCCCTCTGGGGATCCAATGGTGGAAGGAAAGGGGTCTGGGAGAGGGAAAACACCAAAACTGGGGGGAAAAGGAGAAAAGAGATAGAAGCCCGGTGGGAAGCCAAGGCGCAGGGACTCTCTGGGCTGCCGTCACTGGCTCCCGGCGCTTTCATGTGACTCAGCCTCCCCATGGGGCCCCCTGAGCAGATTGTGGGATAAGGGTTCCTGGGTCATCTCGGTTTACAGGGCTGGCTGTCCTGTCTGCCTGCCTCCCCCACCCTCACCTTAATCCCCACGTGCGATTGGGATCAGAGTGTGCCTGACACCCCCGTTATCTCTTCCCTGGATTCCTTCTCGTGGCCAGAGCCTCCCCCGGCTCCCGTCCAGGCCGGGGTAAGCCTCTTCCTTCCAGATGGCTGCCTAGCTTCCCCCCTCCTCCCTTCTCCCAGGCCCAGAGCTGGATGTCATGGTTGCCACCTCAGGAACCATATTTTCTCTCCCACGGCACCCAGGTGCTACTCAGGGGCTCACAGCAGCTGTCAACAACTTCAGCCAGGTTCTGGGCAGCCTGATGGGCTCCGGGTTAGAAGGAGGTGCACGCCCTGAACAGAGGCATCCACAGATGCTCCGGCTCCTACCCGCCCCCATCTGAGCTGGATTCCTGTGTGGAGATGTGCGGTCTGCTTTCTGTGCTGGGGGAAGACCCTCTGGGCCTACGGCCTTGTTTATTTTTCACAGCCTCTCCTCTGACTAGTGGAGGAAGAACAATGGGGCCAGTGAGGGGCCTTCCAGACCAGACCTGGGAAGGAAAGAACTCTGGGGTCAGAGCAAGACACTGGCCCCTCCCCAGTCTGCCAGAGACACCAACACCTCCACCAGGGCAAGCTGTGGTGGGGGTGCACGGCAGGCGCCCAGGGCCTGTGGGCACTCTGACCTAAGGGGATGCTGAGAAGGAGCCCTGTGTTCTCGGGTTAGCTCCGCCGCCAACCAGATGGGTAGCCAGGCGCTGCTCATGCTCCCCTTGGCATTTCCCTTTCCTCCTCTAAACATTAAGTGGATTGGAATTTTTGGAAAATTAAGTGGGTCTAAAGTTCTATTTTACTCTGGGTTCTCATAGGCTAACATTCCTTTGGAGCTTTTATTGTTGGCATAATACCAAAGTGCTTGCCTGTGGGTATGTAGGGACAAGCCTCCAGTGGACAGTCACCAAATGGGATTCCTTTGTAAGGTGACTCATGGGAGGACCGGCAAAGCACAAGGCATCCAAAGGCGAGTTCTCCTTTGCTCCCCATTCTGTCCCCTCACTTCCCCCGGGCTCCTCCCCAGGACTGTGCAGAAACTCAGATCTGCCCCAGACCTGTCCATCTGTAAAGCTGATTATGGATCCTTCACCTCTACGTGTCCTTCCAGGGATTAGAGGCACAGACGCCTCCAGGAGATGGAAATCGTAGCTTCCCCCAGCCCCTCCCGACAGCCTCTCTCCTGCCGAGGCTGAACTGGGGGGCTGCAGGGCAGGTTTATAGGTGGTCCCCCTGCTGGCCCCCACAGAGTCAAATAGAAAATGCCCATACACACTGGACTGGGGGACTTGTGCTCAGGAAGGACATCCAAGAATATAGAGAAGGGGGTGGGGGACAGGAAGGGAGAGAGAGGGAGGGAAATAGAGGCAAGGAAGGAGAGGCAGGGAGAAACTAAGCCCCCCTGGTTCCGCAGGGCCCTGCTGGCAGGCCGCTGGGGTGGGGTCAGGGTGGGAGAGGCTAAATGATTCACTACTGAGAATTTCATATCAGGTCTCTGCTCCAGGGCAGGAGCAATCTGCTCTGGGCCCCCTCTGGGCCCCTCACATGCCAGTTATGTAAGTGGCACCATTTGGAATCCAGAAGATAAGCAGGTCCCAAGCACCCAGGTCTGTTCCTCCCCCGTGGCATGGTGCCTGGCACGGGTAGAGGTACATATAAGTCCAGACTTCCTACGTGCTTGCCTGCAGGAGAGATGCTGCAGCCCCTGGGGGCCATGGCCTGTGCCCTCCTCTTCAGGCTTCTCCCTCTTATGGCCCTGGCAGCCTCCTCCCGAGGCAGTCGCCTCGGCCCCACATCTCCCCTGCGTTATTCCAGGTTCCTAGATTCTTCCAATGTCATTTTCCTGCGCTGGGACTTTGACCTGGAGGCTGAGATCATCACTTTTGAAGTCCAGGTCCGCACAGCGGGCTGGGTGGGCTTGGGGGTCACAGATCGCTACACCAACGTGGGAGGCGATCTGGTCGTTGGAGGAGTCTTGCCCGATGGCAATGTCTACTTTTCGGTAAGTCCAAGGTGAGTCCCATGATGAGGGTCTCCTGCTGGGCTGATGATGGCTCTGAGTCCAGGAAGGATCCACGTTTTCCAAACACATCCAGGCACACACCCAGAACACCACCTGACTGCTGACCTCTCCCTACAGAAATGGCCCATTGGAGAGTTTCTGTCTGGGTCTTCCAGACCGCAGGTCCCTCAGACGCTGAGGAATGGAGCCACTGGGCTGAGACCTACAGAGACCTGCATGCCGTACTTGCTGATAGCTCGCTAAATGCGCGTCACTGCAGCAGAGTCACACTGAGTCATGGTCCTCATCCTCAATTCCTTTAAGCTCAGCCGGGGAGACCACAACATAAAATCGTCTGTTAACAACAGCAGCAGATGCAATGATATTAATAGCTTTAAATTGTATGTACTTTTGATTAACCAGGCATTGCTCCAAACCCTTTTGCATGTCGAACCTCACAGCATCACTATGAGGTGGATGACTATTACCCCATTATACAGATGAAGAAACAGCCCACCCATCTCTCAGTCCATCCATCTGAACTGCATTTATATAGGGAAAGGTCCGTGTTAAGAGCCACGTGAAAGGATGAGTAGAACAGAGAGTTTGGAGAATAAGTGAGCTTTCAAGGAGGGGGATACAGGATTATTAGGATTCATGGAGACAAGATTTGAAATGGGAGAAGTACAGCAAAGTCAGGGGGTCAAAGTCCATCAGACACCGCCCTTCGGTCTTCCCCAAAGATCCACCCGTCATGCCATGCTCTGCCCTCGGAGCAAACTACGTACTAAAGAAGACCTGGGTTCTAATTTAGTACTTTGGGGGAGCTAAAGGGACACCAGCTGCTCCAAAGGGGGGCTCCTGGCTCTCACCCCTTGACCTTCCCTGGACCCCAGGATCAGCACCTGGTGGATGAAGACACCCTGGGGGAGGACAGCAGCCAGGATGCTGAGCTGCAGGGGCTAACAGAAGATGCTGTCTACACCACCATGCGCTTCTCCCGGCCCTTCCGCTCCTGCGACCCTCACGACCAGGACATCAAGGTAAACCAGGAGGGGAGAAAAGCACTGTGTCACAAGCAGCTTTTCCTTCTAGGGAGGCGCAGTCAGCCTCAGCCCAGATGCCCATGGATCTCAGGTGCCAGTCACAGTTTTAGGGGTTCTCTCCCTGTCCACCTTTCCAGCTAGTGCCACCATCATGTCCCCTCGTGAAACCCACAAACCCTCTATAGGGTGACTTCTTACTGATTCAGCACCCACCCCACCCTCCCCAGTGCTCCCCTCTCGAAGAACCCTGCCTGACATCATTGAACTTTAGGGTCTCATTACAGATGTGGACACAGGCACAGCAAGGGGGAATGTGAGGGGGAAGGTGACTTGCTCAGCATGTCCAGCAAGCTGGCCTCCAAAGCTGGAGTTCTGACCCCCAGTCTGAAGTGATTTCCATTCTGCTGTGTAGACGTGAGCAAGTGGCTTGTGTTGGTCCTTGGGAGTGTGTGTGTGTGCAAAGTGCTGTTCATGGGCAGCAGCAGCTCAATGCCCGTGATGCCCCCAGGGTGCCACCATGAGGGTGCTGGCCACCTACGGCCTGGATGACGTTCCCAAGCTGGATCCGGAGCGCATTTTTGTCAAGTCCATCTTCCTGCTACAGAAAATCCACCCTGATGAGTATGATGTCCCCGAGGACACCATCATTCATGACTTGGAGATCGCTGACGTAAGGCCCCTCTGCCCCTCCCAGCCCCCTCCCCATTTCCCTTCCAGTCCAGATCCTCCTCTTGCATCCGACGCTCAGTCTTTTCTTTGAATCGAGGTCACTCTGACTTCCCTCATCCCCTGAGGACTGCCAAGCTGTCCCCAAAGGGAACACCCTGTCCTGGCCCGCCTGGGGGGCTCACTCCCACCCCGGCTCAGCCTCCATGCATCCTTCCTCAGTTCCTGGTTCCAGAGGAGGACACCACGTATGCCTGCACCTTCCTCCCACTTCCCATTGTCAGCAAGAAGCACCACATCTATAAGGTACAGGGAACCCCAGGGCAGGACATTGCCAAGGCCATTGAGCAGGGCTGGGGGCATGGCCGGCTCTGAATAGAGGGTGTTCAGAAAATGGCTAGGAGGAAGCAAGAGGGATACAGCGGGAGAACATGGGGGCCAGGCCAGGTTTGGGGGACATGCTAGATTCACGATTCCTGAGCCTAGAACTGTAGCTCCCGGCACAGTTTTATTCAGGCCCCACAGTGCAGCAGAGATCTGACGAAGGTCATTAATGAATAAGTGTTTGGAAAGAAAAAAAATAGAAGCCCCATCCTGGCCCTGGAATCGTGCCCTCCTAGCCCGGGAGGAAGTGCAGGCTGAGAGACATGGCCAAGGGCCCCCATGTTGGTGAGGTCTGGCTGGAGGAACCCAGACTTCTCACCTGATTTCACAGTTGAGTGATTTCCATTTTGTTCAAATAAATAAAAGTAGGATCTTACACTAAGTGGCAAATGTGTGGGAGCCATTTTTTCTTTAGAGAGAGAATCCAAGATGGTTACATGCTCAGCTATAGGGGACCCATCAGGCTGTTTAGGGAAAGTCAGAAGCCTTGGGAGGTTCCAGGTAGATTTAGTGTGCTGGGCTCTCAGGGAAGGGGCTCCAAAGGGTGGGGGCTGAGTGGGGAGTCAGACAGAGTGGGGGCAAATGATGGACTGGGGAAGAAAAACAGGAAAGGGAAGAGACAGAGAAACAGAGAGAAGTGGGGAGCAGGGATAGTTTTCTTTGGGGAAAAGGAATGGGGGGATAGGACTTGACAAGGAAGACCCTGACTCTGCTCTGCCCTTGTGCCCCGTCCAGTTTGAGCCCAAGCTGATGGAGCGCAACGAGACAATGGTGCATCACATCCTGCTGTACGCCTGTGGGGGCGCCAGTGTTCTCCCCACGGGCATCGGCCACTGCTACGGGGCCGACCCCGCCTTCTCCCTCTGCTCGCAGGTCATCATGGGCTGGGCCGTCGGGGGCACGGTGAGTCCTGGGTTGAGGGAACTTGGTGGCTGAGGGGCGGGTATCGTCAGGCAACTGGGATTGCCAGACCGATGGAAGGCTAGGAGATGGGGGAGGTCTGGGGTGAGGGCGGAAACCAGAGTCAGGCCCCGGATCCCTGCACCTCATTCCCAGCCCTTCCTGTTGCCAAGTATCCCTCCACCCAACAGAGTTACCAGTTTCCAGATGAAACGGGCATCTCTATTGGGACCCCCCAGGACCCCCAGTGGATCCGACTGGAGATTCACTACAGTAATTTTCACAACCTTGCTGGTGAGGATCTGGAGCATTTATGGAGGAGCCACGGGGGGAAACTGGCTGGTACACGCGTCAGGAAGGTGCTACCAGGGGCATGCTGACTCCGCTGGCCCCAGGGCCTTGCCAGCCCTCCTGGCCTCTTTCTCCCACAGTTCTCCTGCCCTCTCTGGTTGTTCCCTTATGCTCTAGGTGTGTACGACTCCTCGGGGATTCGCGTATACTACACTGAACATCTGCGCAAATACGACATGGGAGTCCTCCATCTGGGCTTCCTGACCGTGCCTGTCCACTTCATACCCCCGGGCTCCGAGTCCTTCGTGTCCTATGGGCTGTGTAAGACGGAGAAGTTTGAAGAGGTGAAGGCCTCACACAGCCTCTCCGACGTGCCCTGTTCCCCACCCAGACCTGATCCTGGAGTGCACAGAGCCCGAGCCCAGACTTGGAGAGTGACTACAGCCTGGTGCTCAGGAAGGCTGCCACCCTGGGTCATGCAGGAAAGGAGGATGCCAGGGATTTGGGGATAAGAGGTGCAGGGCAGGAGGAGGGGCCAGCAAGAACTAAAGAGGTTCGTGTCAGTCATAAGAGGAAGGGGGTAACTATTAAGGGAGGGAAATCAAGGAGCCAGACAGGATGAGAGTTGTTAACAAACCAGATGCATCTCCTCTGCGTCACAGATGAATGGGGCCCCTGTGCCTGACATACAGGTATTTGGCTACCTGCTCCACACCCACCTGGCTGGCCGTGCTCTGGAGGCCCTGCAGTACAGGTAAGGGAAGATCTGGGTTTGGAGCTTGTCCCATGTGCATGTGGGAATAAACATTAGGAGGAGTTAGTTATTCTGCGGCATGAAGTGGTGCTTGGCTGGCAGTACGGAGATGCCAGCACCGGCCCTGGAGCAGGGAAGGCTGGAATGAGGCTGTGGAGGGAGGCTTTTGTGTTAGGAGCAGTCTCTTCCCACAGAACGACCTCCCATTCTGCCTCTTCGCTGACAGACCTCCCTCCCCACTTTGCCCTCTCCCATTCGGGTCCCCTCCCCTCCTCTCCCTCTAGAAATGGAACACAACTCCAAACAATCTGCAAAGATGACTCCTACGACTTCAATCTGCAGGAGGCTCGAGATTTACAACATCCCGTGGTGATCAAACCGGTGGGAGCCTGGCGGGAGGCACGCGGGCGGTGGGAGAGGCAGGGTCGGGGCGCCCTGCTGCGAGCGGAGAGAGGACGGAGCCAGCCCCGCCGAGTCTCACCCTCAGCTTCACGTTTCACTCTGAACAGGGCGATGAACTGCTGGTGAAGTGTCACTACCAGACCCTGGATCGAGACCTGGTGACTTTTGTAAGTGCCTCTCTCCCCAACGTGGTCAATGACAACAGCCTCAGAGCAGAACCCCGTCCCCTGGCCTTGGCTATCGAGTGACTCAGATTATTTCCAGCTGAAGCCCCTTCCTTCCTCCAGTGGTATTACCCGGTCCCATGGGGCTCTTCATGCTCTCACCCCGCCCCCCATGACTAAAATGGGTACGAAGATTCCCTGCCTTCTGTCAATGGCCCACTAAGACCTCGGGAAGAGACATGCCATAGCGACAAGGAACGCGGACTTTTGCCCTCGTTGCCTGGGTTTGAGCGCCAACACGTCGTTAGGAGCTCCTAACCTAGATCAGTTATTCAACCTCTTTGTGTCTCTGCTTTCTAATTCATACAAGAATTAGTAATATTATCTCACGTGGTTGCTGTGAGAATGGATTAACAAGGTAAAGTGTCTAGATCATTGCCTGACTTGTAGTTGATGCTCAGCCAGAGTTAGCAATTGCTATTATGGTCACATGCATTTTGTGTGTCAGGAAGGGTCAGCGCCTGTAGGATTCTAAAGGGGTTGCATGCTAATGAGGAAGGAAATACAGCCATACAAAGGATTATTATACAAGGTAGCAAATGACATATGCTGAAAGAGAAGAACGGGGCTGATGCACCAGAGGAACTTGCAGGGGACAACCAAACGGTCCTGCTGCCCCGAGGCGCCTCCCCCTCACGGCCCTCCTGTTTGGGCAGGGGCCCCTGTCTTGGCTCCTTGCCACCCTGCAGGCTAGAGTCTGATACTATCTCCCGAGGTCACATACCCAGGCCCCTCTCTGCTTGCCTTCCCCTTGCCATCAAACACAGAAACTCCCCTCTACTTTGGCTCCCAAAAAGGTCCCCCACCTGAGCCCCTTCCCGAGACCTAGAATGGAACGTGTGACATATGGAGTGCATCCTGCTTTAGAAATGTGAGATGGAGAAATCGAGAGAGGCTCAAAAGGGACTGGCTTCTTCAGGAAACTCAGTATCTTGTCTTATCTTCTCAAACCAGGGCAGTGGCAGTGGAAGTGCCTAGAACAGGGCAGACATGCAGAATATTTCTTTGGAAATAACCTAGTGATTATCCACTGATGGAAACAGAGGAGGAGAAAGGGAGAGGTGGGTAGGGAGCAGCAAGTAAAGGCCAGTGAGCCGGCTCCAGGTTAGGGAAAATGAAAACGGCTTCAGTGTAGCACGACTGCCTCCGCCATTCTCTGCTGCCTGTTTGCCCTCCCTCTGCAGGCCTTTGTGTCTTTGTCTCTCCATCTCTGTCTCTCTCTTCTTCTCCAGGGGGGCCCCAGCACCATTAATGAGATGTGCCTCATCTTTCTCTTTTACTATCCCCGGAACAACATCTCCAGCTGCCTGGGGCTCTTCGACATTGTCCATGTGGCCAACGAGCTGGGGCAGGAGGTGTCAGAGTGAGTTATCCTGGAGGAGGAGACCTTCAACTGGGTGGGAGGGGCTTGGGGGAGGCCTGGGGAGGGAGGAACAGGAAGACCACCCACTACCCCTCTGCTAGTGTTAGTGGGCTGCCTAACTGGCCCTGCCCTCTTTACCCCTGCTCCTGTCTGTGTCTGACTCTCAAAGCGCTGATGTAAGACAGATAGGGGATTTTTTTTCCGTATCAGTGGGGTCATTCAGAGGAGCAGGTCAGAACTGACCTCTAAAAGGTCACTCACGTACGAATTTGTTGTCTGCCTTTTTCCCAGGCACTGCCTACTTTGTCAGACTGTGCTTACTTTCAAGTAGTGACCTCTAATTATCTGGGAGTAAGGGTCCTCTCTGAGGTTCTGATGAAAGCCCTGGGACTCCTTTCCAGGGAAAATGCACATCTGTGCAGACACAACGCACTTCACTTACAATGTCAGGGCACCTACAGGTTCCCTGGAGCTGCTCCAGCGACCTTCTTGGAATTTGTGGCCCGGGAGTAAGAACCACTTCTTTAAAGAGTCAGCAGATTCTCTTTTTCACTTTTAGACATTCTCATCTCCGACTTCTGATGTGATCTTTCCTTCTGCCAAATTTACGACTGTCTCACTGAGCTGGAAGGCATGTCTTACAGTTCATGGGGACATGGAACTGATGCTCATGAATGTGAAGGTATTTTAGACATATTTTGTCAAAGCTTTCAGTCGACGCTAAAGTATTGTTTCCTCCCCTGCCACGGCAGCCCCTTGGAAGGGATAATGGCCATGAACAATGTTGAGTGGACCCCAGAGAACATTAAGAAGGCTGAGAGGATCTGCAAAGAGACCCAGCAGCTGGTGGTAATAAAGAACATTGATGTGAGTGTCTCAGGAGGCACCAGCCTCTTGGGGTTAGGGGTGGGGGGATATGGGATGCTACTGGGCAAAGCCAGGAGAAGAGAATGAGGGAGGCGAATGACCATGGTCAGGGAAGGGGGAGCTCGGGGGCCAAGGGGGGGTGCTGGTGCCGCTCTGGGTTGTGTGGGTGGCTGGCATCTCCCAGTGAGTCTGTGAGGCTGCAGGTTTGGGGGATCACCAAGTAAGGGCTGAGGACAGGAGATAGGTAGAGAGATGTCTCCCTGTACCCGTCTGCCCTTCTCCTGCAGGAGGTGGTGGAAAACACAACAGGCTGGATTCCGGAAATCATCCCTACTCCTCGGGGGCCCTGCTTGGAGTCCTCAGGAGGCAAAGTGGAGCCCCAGGACAAAACCCCCGCGGGCTTCAGGGCTGCCCCAGGGGCCCTCCTGCGCTCTGGCACTGCTGCCCCGAGGCACCTCCCCTTCGCTGCCCTCCTGTTTGGGCAGGGGGCCCTGTCTTGGCTCCTTGCCACCCTGAGTGCTGGAGTCTGATACTGTCTCCCGAGGTCACATACCCAGGCCCCTCTCTGCTCACCCTCCCCTTGTCATCAAGCACAGAAACTCCCCTCTGCTTTGGCTCCCAAAAAGGTCCCCCATCTGTGCCCCTTCCCAAGACCTAGGCCCCAACACTGCAGGCCTGGCCATTGCACATAGTCCATAAAGGTTCTTCCAGGACTAGCTACGCAATTCGTCCTTTACAGCTTGAGAAGCACTGGTGGAACCACATATTTTCTGACAAAATCTCAATTCAAGGCTGGGTGTGGGGTAATGGATCACTCTGACAAGCCTGATACTCCAGCTCACTTAGGGAGATGCCATGGGTGGGGAGAAGTGGGGCTTGAATACAGAGCGAAAGCCCTGCACACCCTCCTCGGCCCCTGCTGGCCCTGGAGGGGCTCCTGCTTCCCTTTCCTTCTGACATTTCGACCAAGCCCTCCCTGTGAGGCAGGGGCAGCAAGCCACATGCGTGATTCCTGGTAAAGGGACAGGCTCTGATTACAAGGAGCAAAGCCCAAGGTATCAAATTAAATAGAAGCCGACTTGCCTCCTGATGCCCTCTCTTTACTTTGAGACGTTGGTCTGGGAGAAGCCGCTGGGAGGTCTCTCGGATGGCTCATGAGGTGTCTAGAGGGCATCTGAGGGTCTGGTTGCCCCAAATGCAGCATCTAAAGCAGTCCTTGATCTCCTCACCTGTGCCTCCACCCCCTGATGACCTTCATCACACCAAGTGCCACCTTCTCAGCACTCAGATGTCCAGGTGTCAGGATCCCAACTGGCCAGGGAGGCTGAACTGGGTTCCGAGAACAGGGCACGGGCAGGGTGGAGAGAGGCGGTCCTCAGCTCTGGGGCCCAAGGCATGTCAAGCAGGTTCACACAGACAGAGCAGGGACTAGGTGCAAACAGTCCATGGAGTCAGGCTGCAGTTGGCAACCACAGCTCACTGGGAAGGCCCATGGTAGTGGCCACTTGGAGAGCTTCTAGGGGGCATTTCTGTCTTCTAAGCTCGAGAAGTTCTGTATCATCCTGTCCTTTGAGATTTAAAGTCACCATGCTAGTCTATGAATTAATTGCCTTGCTCACTGTTCATGTCCTCTGGAAGAGGCCCTACTCTGGGCGTCCCAAGGTGTTGAGGGATCTTAACCCTTTGGAGACCAGGGGTCTGGCCTCAGCAAACTGCCTGCCATTGCTTGAGGAGCCAAGCCTTGACCAACATCAAATTCCTGCTTCCCAGAAGAGTAACACCACCCCTCTGGGACTGGTGAGGTGCATGGAAGGTAACGAGCTCATCCTCTTTACTGTCATTTCTTCTGGAGAATTCTGAACCCTCCATTCTGAGATCCCATTCAGCTCCTCCAGTCTCAGTGCTGGATATTTTTAAGGCTTAGAGTCACTTCTGAGCCTCATGATATGTGAACAGAGGGACTTGCTGTCCATAAATAAGAGGTTTTCAAAGTTCTTCATTATGGAAAAGACTAGGCTCGTCAGAGGATTGTCTCTGTTCTGTTGTCACCATTCAAGGGAAGTGGAGACTTTCTTTTAAGGTAATAATCCCCAAACAAGGTTGGTGGCATTTGTCACCCATTCGAGGAGCACAAATGACCTCCTATGGCATGAGGAAACACAGGTAAAGATGAGATCAGGATAGAAACTTCAGCAGAACAGACTACTTCTCTCCCACTTCTCTTGGTCACATCTGACATTTCTCTTCCAATCTGTATTACCCCAAGATCCTCCAGGCAAATTCTTTCAACCCCAATCTTTCCATTTAAAACACGCACACACAAGCACACTTTCTGGCTGGGTTTCAGATGCCCACCCTCCGTCTGTGCTGGAGCCTTACTCTTGGCTCTGCCCTGACAGGGTCAAGCCAGTGGGGTGACTACTCCAAGCCTGTGCAGTCAGAATCTTCCTGAGGCTCCCCCTGCCCCACTCTCGGCTCAAGGCAGTTCCCAGGCACCCCTGCTCTCTGTCTGCTCTTTCATTCTTTATTCTTGCTTAGCCTTCCTTCTTTCATTTGTGTTTCTCTCCAGCTCCTCCCCTCAGTGGTTAGTGAACATGTACCTACTCCCTGAGCACCATCTGTGGGCTTGACATCAGGTCAGGACAGGAGCCACCAAAACGAACAGGAGATGGGACAAACGCTGCCCTGCCCTTGGGGAGCTGGGGTCAGGCCTCCGTGAGGCCCTTGGTGGCCATTTCCTCCTTGCTTACCTTTGAGCCTTTCCTGATGCTATTGAGTGTTGCCTCCCCTGATGGCCTCCAAGAGGAACTATATCTATATCAACATATAGAGAATGTTTCTATAGTTAAAAGGGATGCATTTGTATTATACAAGACTGGGAGTTCAAACCAGTACTGTTAGGGAAATGTCTTAAAACACGGAGGGTAGGAGGTTTGATTGGATGACCTCAAGTTTTTTTCCAGTTTACGTGCTTTGTGACTGCAGCCTAATGATACACCGCAAGAGAAAGGTGCTCAGAGCTGAGCTGCAGAGGTGGCCCCAGCCTCCTCCTAGAACATTCCGTCACTTGGGCCCCACAGGGGTCTCTGAGGTCTGGTCAGCTCTGAGGGACCCTGAAACTGCCACTCCTTTTCCACCTCACCTCTTCTACTCAAAATTCCACATGTGGAGGGTAAATAAAGGATTTGTGCCCTCATTACTTTTTTCTGTGGTAGTCGGAGGACAAGTGGAACCATAAGCTGATGTTTACACTGTTCCTGTGGAACAAGAGTTTTTTGGTACAGCATCAAATTCATAGTAAAGTTGCAAGAATTCTACCCTTTACCTAGCTCTAAACATTATTTATATTTTGCTACATTTATCTCTCCCTCTCTCTTTTTCCTTCTCTTTCTTCTCCTCCTTCCTCCTTCTGTCTCTCTCCCCTTTGTGAAAAGCTCTAAGTTTTTATCCCTGTTTGTTAGAATTCTCATCAGTGTCTAAATTCCTGCTCCCACTGCGCCAGCTGAGAGTGAGCAGGAAACCTTCCCAGGCCAACCACTCCACCAACGCAGTGGCTGTCGACCGTGGCTCCACATGAGGATCACCAGGGTGATGGGCACAGCGACCGGGTATTGGTGAATTGTGAAGCTTTTAGGTGCTTCTAACATGAAACCAAGACTGAAGACCACTGGACCAGAAGTTCAGTCGCCCTTAGCTAGTCTCTTTCCTGCATGGTGTTGAGGAATCACATTCTGGCTTCACACATTTCAGCTAAGGCCCAGGTACTGACCGATCACAGTGAACACTGGGGAAGAAGGGCTCGCAAACCCCCGATTTCCAAGAGTGAGAATCTTAGTTGCTTGGTAGCAAGGCTATGTGGGGGTCTCAGAGAACGGGCATACTTAGGGAGCTCAGGGAAGTGGCTATTTACTGAATCACTCAAAAAATAAATAGCAAAGAAAGAGGAGCCCTTATAATGCCAAGTAACAAAAATAGAAGGAATATGGAATTAGAAATTACTGTGTGACAAATTCACAGTAATAATTGATTCAGGCAAGAATCACCAATGGATGAAAAAACTAATAGGTAAAGAATCAGCTACATAGCCTCAAAGTATCTCTTCACAATATACTTATTAATTACAATGAGGAAAAATAGTAACTTTACCATCCAGAACATGGCCAATACTGCCTCAACTAAAGTTAACCCCACCAGTAATGGACAAATAGACATTATGTACCTCCTGATACGGTGCACCAAGGACACAACATCACTTCTGTGTTATCTCTGCCAAACAAGTATAACCTCGAAGAGATCATGAGGAAGTGTTAGACAAATCCACAATGAGGGATTTATTTATCCTATGAACAGTTGCCTTGTGAGCGTCAAAATGTCAAAATCATGAAAGAAAAAGAGGGACTAAGGAATAGGTCCAGAATAGGAGAGACTAAAAATCCTATTAAACAATTAAATGCCACATACATTGTGCGCTCCCAGGCCCTAGTCTATCTTGTCGCCATTGTCATCATTGTTGTTCTGTATTTTCTATAAAAAACATTATGGGGATAATTGGCGAAATTTGACTGACGTCTGTGCATTAGATGATGGTATTATATGATAGTATTTCCTGATTTGGCTGGTTATATTGTGGTTATGTAAGAATATTTTCTCGTGTTTTAGTAAATACACCTTAAACATATTGTGATGATGAGATACCTTGTCTACAAACTCTTAAATTATACACATGTGTGTGGGTGGGTAGAGAGGAAAAGGGAGATAGAGAGAGAAAAACAGAGAGGGTGAATAACTTATATAATTATGGGCAATATTTGGGGAATATGATGAAAATGTATATATTTCTTCTTTATACTATTCTTGAAACTTTCTCCAAGCTTATTTGAAAATGTATTTGTTAATTTTTAAAAAAGAAATCAGCACAAGTCTATACAGACAGTATGAAAAATGGAGAAAATATTGAAAAAACAAAAACAAAAATCTAGGCACAAGACTGAATAACCTGGGGAAAAAAAATCAATTTAGAAAAGTGTCAGTTTTTCCAAGCAGGAGTTTTTGACCACTCTGAGCAGAGATCTTCTAGTCTGCAAGCAATAGTATTCCCTTGAAGTAATTTCAGCTCTCAGGCATAACAAATGAGTGATCACATGTATTTCTTAGAACTCCAAATCACTATGATTTTATAAACAATTATTTAGATAGCCACAGACAGTGACATTTAAGTAAAAGTAAACAGCCCTGTTTTTACAACCACAGGTCATCAGAAGGATGTTTGAGATCAAGATGATTAGTAGGAAAATAGTCGCCACCAACAAAACATATCAGAGAGATGGTTTAAGATGTAAAACTAAGCTCACAAATGAAATTCTGAGGAGCAAGAACTTAACCTCCATCCCAGGAAAAACATCTTAAAAATTAGTACTGTCCAACAATTAAATGGGCTGCCTTTTGAGGAGGTATTTAATCAGATGCTGATGAGGATTAGAGAGACATGGTTTAGAGGAAACTGTTTTATGAGGTGGAACTTTTAAGCTACATAGGCCCTGGAGTCTGTTCCAACTTGGTGTGCTTTTATCTGGATATGTATTGGGAAATAAACTTGCATTGCATCCATAATGCAATCTGTCATCTATATTATCAACTTCCTCTCTAATGATCTATTTAAATAATTCAAT